CCATAGTATCATCAATGTACAGACACTGCCAGTCAGTACTCCATAGTATCATCAATGTACAGACACTGCCAGTCAGTACTCCATAGTATCATCAATGTACAGACACTGCTGGGGGAGTAGTCCATAGTAATCTGATAAGACGTACCCCCAGGATGGGCAGCAGGAAAGTGTCCTTTAAAAAAGTATCCAAGTTGCAGTGCCGCTCACCCCCTAATTCAGCCGTGTCACTCAAGTTTGTGTCTTACATTATTTCACAGCCGAGTGTTGACAGGTCTAGGGCTGCACAACGTCCAGTGGCGTGTACTTGAGCAACGCCACGGGATTTCATTTAGCAACACTGTACTTCTTAGTGGCCGTCCACAATTATCCATCTTTTACACGAAGAGAAAAAAAGTTTTGTTTCAACATGGGTGGGTGGGTTAAGATGAGTTTCGTTTTGAAAAATATTCATATGTGATATATCAAGGCATTCTTGCTGTCAAGTCAATCTATTTTCCGTTCAGGGGGGCGGGTGGGTGGGGAAGGGTCTTAACTAAACTTTTTTTCGTTTCGTGAAAATTATCGATAATGCCGGATATCCCCTTATCCCAACACACTTGAGTATGTATAAATATACTGGTGTGTTCCGGACACTGTGATGACTGCACAAAGCAAGAGAGTAGGTATGTCTTTATCAGAGTATGTACAAGACGTGTTCCACAGGCTGTACATGTACGGGAGAATATGTATAATATTTTTGTCCACTGCTGCCACCAGCACCGCCACCGCCACCGCCACCACCGCCACCACCACCACCACCAGCAGCAGCACCACCGCAACCAGCAGCACCACCGCCACCTCCACCAGCAGCACCACCGCCAGCACCACCACCACCAGCAGCACCACCACCAGCACCACCAGCACCACCACCACCACTGCAGCACTGATACTCCGACAGCTCAGCAAACCTGCACTGATACAGTCGTCCCTCCGGCACTTGTTTATCCAGCACCCTTGCAAACCAGCACACTTTCTGGCAAAACGGATTTTTTCAGTTCATTTTCTACTCTTTAATCCGGCACTTGAATTCTTCCTCCAGCAGCGATTTTCTGCAACAAATCACTCAAACTGTACATAATTCGATTTTCTAATCCAGCAGTTGTACATCGCAGACTGTCAGGGACCATTGTAACATACACAACACATGTAACATACACTTGGGAATATCCTATGCCAGTACATAGGATATTCCCAAGTGTATGTTATAGACATGCATTCCACAAAGTACTTGGTTTCACACAGAAAATCCCTACGTTTTGACATACGACACAAACATGTATGATAACAAGTGGGCCGGGTTGGAGGACAGGATTTGATAATCCAGCACCCTTGTTTATCCAGCAGAAAATGCCGTTCCAAAAGGTGCCGGATTAGAGAGGGACGACTGTACTCTGACAGCTCAGCAAACTTGCACTGATATCTCTAATATAACATGGCTCTTGTAGTCTCAGGGCAAACGCTGCAGTACAAAAGGGTCCCGGACCCTCAGTCAAAATGCAACAGCTACATTAGCCATAGAAATGCATGAGGAAGATAACAGCTGATGCAAAAGAAGAAGAAAAAGACACGTTGCATCTTGAGCAATTACACTCACAGGCTTCTTGCAGATGTCACACTGAGGGACCTTGCGCTGAGACAACTCTCCTTGCTGCTCATATCGACACACAGACACACAAACACACAGACACACATACAAACTGAAGTGTAATGGTGACCCCCTCCTCCATCCTGACTGACACTAGCTAGTATTCATGGTGTTGTGTGAATGTCTCCTAGTACAAGTACGTGTACTAGCTGCTTCTGTTCTTTGCTGTGTGCACTGTTTGTGTTCTTTCCTGTATACATGAGTACTTGCATGGCGTTGTCGTTCAGGGTTGAGTCGTGCGTGACTCCTTGTTCCACTGCATGTGCGGTGTGCTTCTTATCTTCTAATCTATAGGCTGCGTGCGGTTGGTGTCCGCTTTCTCTTCATGATCATGAGCCACGGCGTTGTATAGACTGCATGACGTGCTAACGGTGGCTGCCGTGCGGTGTGCGCGATTCACTGCATTCCTGACACTGCTGCTTGCAGGCGCATACATCATTACATGTACTGCACCTTCGCGTGCTCTGTACTTTAGTCTTTAGTTCCGGTTCGATGCACCATGCGCATGCGTCCGGTATGGTGCGAGATGGTTCTTGCTCTCCCAACATTGTTTTTAGTTAGTTCTTTTTCTTAGTCCCAACAATAACCTCATGGAATTAAATCAGTGTGAAACGTAACTATGAGTTCGGTTGTGGGTCTGCAGTAGTCCTAGTGACACGGTTATAGTACAGCTTGTGGTGCCGAAACCCGGGAGGACGTCAGGGATACCAGCTGGGTTGCTGGTTGGCGTCGTGGTTGATTGTACTGTCGCGTGTGGACTCGTGGGGAAACTGAATTTTCCGATCTAAGTACGATGTCGAAAGCTGAAGGATACCTGCGACCCTACCGGGGAAAGGTCGATGATTTCCAGACGTTCTGGGCGAAATTTGACGTGCTGGCGACAATCAACAAGTGGGACTCGGACGAGAAGAAAATGGCCCAGTTACCCTTGTTTCTGGAGCAGGATGCGTTCCTGGTGTTCAGCCGAATGAAGTCGGATGACAAGAAGAAGCCTGACGCCGTCCAGAAGAAAATGGAAGAGGCGTTTTGTATGACGAAGTCGGAAGCCTACCGGCGGTTCAAGGCCCGACGCATGAGACAAGAGGAGTCACCAGATGCCTATGTTGCCGATTTGCAGCGCCTCGCCAGTTTGGCCGGCGATGCGTCGCCTGGGGATGACAAAAATCACTCCGTTGTTGAGCAGTTTCTTGACGGGCTTCCACATGCGTGGGCAAAGCAGGTTAGGTTGTCACTTGTGGGAAAGGACCAGACTGTGAGCGCCTGCTTAGAATTAGTCCGTGCTGTTCAGCTTAGTGATGGCGATTCTGTGACAGCTGCAGTAGGTACAGGTGCTGGAACTGGTAGTTTGGCTGGTGGAGCACGTGGCGACAAGACCAGCAGGAAGTCTTTCTTGTGCTACCTCTGCAATGAGGTCGGCCACATGAAGCGAGATTGCCCAAGGAGGAAGCAGGGGCAGCAGAGTGGGTCCAGCTCCAAGGATGGTGGAGGCCGTGGCAGTACGTGCTACTTCTGTGACAGGCCTGGTCACAGGAAGCCAGACTGTCCGGACCGGAAAGCTTGGCTGGCGAGCCGGCAAGGCGGGAGTGCTGCAGCAGCAGCTGGAGAGGAGCCTAGTCCAGCCTTGGCCTCTGTGTCTGTGCCTTCGCCAGGGCAGCTGCCTAGGATCAAGGTAGACATGTGGACAACGGGCAACAAGGATGATGTGTCACGTATGACAGCAGTCATTGACACTGGTGCTGTCCGATCACTGCTGACTAAGGACCAAGCCCTGTCCTGTGGCCTTGCGTGGTCAGAGTGTGAAAGCAGACTCGTGGCGCTGGATGGCCAGTCTATTGCTGTTCTTGGGAAAGTGGCCGTCAACATTGGACGATTGGATGGCCCTATCCCAGTGCAGATGCCAGAAGCCAGTGTGGAGCTGTTAGTCGTCAACGATCTGAGTGTCGTACACGCCGATTTGTTGATCGGTTGTGATGTAGCGAGCAGCTGTGGTGGCCTACATCTTGAGTATGCCAATGATGGCCGGCTGGAGAGTGTGAGGTTTGGGCCAGTGTCAAGTCCTGTGTCTGCTGCACTTCCTCAGGACGGTCACCCTTCCCGCCACGTGCAAGTGAGCCGTCATGGACAAGGTGTCACGTTGTCGGCACGTGATGGAGAGGTCCAATGGTGTCATGAAACCAAGCGTTGGATTCTCCGCTGGAAGTGGAAAAGTGGTGCAGCCCCTGAGGTTCCAGTGGGCTCTGGCATCGGCCAGTACTCCAGGGAGAAACTGAGCCCAGAGCAGGAGAAGTTGTTCTGCAAGGAAGTCGACGCTTGGATCGCTAATGGTTGGCTTGTGCCGCACGATGAAGCCACACATGGAGCAGTGGCTGGTGTGCTTCCGTTGATTGCTCGCACCCAAGAGCATAAAGCATCCACCCCGATCAGACCATGCCTGGATTATCGTAAGCTTAATGAGCTCATTGAGTCTGAGCCTGGCTATGAAGCCCCCGTGTGCGCCGAGAAGATCAGGCAGTGGAGACGCAGCAGTGATGGTCAGTGGGAGATGCTAGACGTGAAGAAAGCATATCTCCAGGTGCATGTCAGTGCTGAGCTAGTGCGCTACCAGGCCGTTCTCTGGAACAACAAGGTGTACGTGATGACCAGAATGGGCTTCGGGTTGGCGATTGCGCCGAAGTTTATGCACCTCGTCATCCAGTGGATCACTCGCCATCGCCCAGAAGTCGACAACTATGTTGATGATATCCGAGCTCCAGCAGAAGTGACTCAGTGTGTTGCCGACGAGCTTGCAGCCTATGGACTCCCAACGAAGCCTGCCGAACCCATGGAGGAGTCCCGTGTTCTTGGTATGCAACTGAAGGCTAATGCCGATGGCGCCATGGGCTGGTCCAGGAGAGAGATCGATCTAGAGCCACCACCTAAGATGACAAGACGCAAGGTCTTCTCGTGGTGTGGACGCCTTATTGGCCACTACCCGGTCTGTTCGTGGCTCAGGCCTGCTTGCAGTTACCTGAAGCGGCTGGCGACTGCTGCAGGTGGCAATGGATGGGACGATCCACTGCCGGAAACCCTTGTTGAATGCTGCCAAGAGCTGTTCGCGAGGCTCTCCTCCGACGATCCGGTGCATGGTCAGTGGGACGTGCACGCGCAGGCTGACTCCACCTGGACTGCGTGGTGCGATGCATCTGGCCTAGCTATTGGTGTCGTTCTTGAGCTCGACGGGACCGTTGTGGAAGATGCATCATGGCTTCGGCCTGCAGGGGACAAGCTCCATGTAAATGTTGCTGAGCTTGACTCTGCCATTAAGGCCCTCACGCTAGCCACGAGGTGGAACGCGACGCATGTGGTTCTGAAGACTGACTCGAAAACTACTGCGGGATGGCTGGCTCCGGTTGTTGGTGGGTCACGTCGCGTCCGGGTTGGTGGTCTGCATGAGGTTCTGGTGCAGCGTCGGCTGCAGATAGTCAATGATCTTCTTAGCATGACGAAGATGCAGGTGACTGTGGAGTGGGTGCCAACGACTGAAAACCTTGCAGACAAGCTGACGCGCGTGCCGTTCAACTGGCCGAAGAAGAGCTCTGATGTTGTGGCCAGTCTGCCGAGGGCTGTGGCTGTTAGCCCTGTCTCTAGCAATGAGTTGGGCAAAGCCCAGGCATCGGACGAGGTCATCCAAGGAGTGATTCAGCAGATTCAAGTTGGCCAGCCAGTAGCAAGTCGGCGCTTCCGCAGTTGCGCCGGTCAGCTTCATGTGGAGGAAGGCCGCCTAGTCCGGAGCCTGAAGCTGCCTGTGGAAGGGGAAGTCAACGTGCCAGTCGTTCCCGAGTTGTTAGTGCCTGATGTCGTGACCGCTGCTCATGTCAACACTGGTCATGCTTCCTGGCAGCCAATGTATGAGTTGCTCCGCAAGCACTGCTACTTTCCTGAGATGGCGTCTGCCTGCCAAGACCACGTCAAGGGGTGCCAGAACTGCCAAGCCGCTAGTCCAGCAAAAGGCCCAGCAGCCCCCAGCGCCAGAGCAGAGATCCCAGGTCGACCATGGGGAACAGTGCAAATGGACACCCTGGAGCTTGGGCTGAACCGTGGCGGGACACACCACTGCGTGCTCGTGTGCGTGGATGTGCTGACAAAGTGGGTGGAAATAGTGCCAATGAAACGGCACGACGGGCCCAGTGTTGCCTCGGCCTTCGTGAGCTTGTGCTGTAGGTGGGGACCACCAGACGTCATCCGTGTGGACAATGGGACTGAGTTCAGCAATGCCATTGTCCAGTCTGTCTTTCAAGTGTTCGGCGTGAGGGTGAAGACAGGTGCCGTTCGCCATCCGCAATCCCAGGGAGCCGCCGAGAGGTACAATCGGACATTGCTGACTCTCATCAGGAAGGTCCTCGACGAATCATCGGACTGGATGGACGATCTTCAGATGCTGGTCCACTTCTACCGCTCTCGACCGCATTCAGTGACTGGCATGTCCCCAATGATGGCCATGGTTGGGTGGGACCCACCTGTGTTGATTGACGATGGACGCCCTAGGTACGACTTTGACACGTGGCAAGCAGAACACGCAGCACGATCTGCTAGGATCCGAGACCTTCTGGAAGACGCCATGTCGGAAGGCGACTGCCATGACGAGGTGCTGCCCTGCGCTTACCAGGCTGGAGATGCAGTCATGCTGCGGATGCCTAGTCGTCGTCAGAAGCGATTGCCGCCTTTTGAATCCGGCTAGACTGAGAAGAAAGTCATTTCTCCATCAACTGTCGTGATCTGGCGGAGGTCTGATGGTAGATCCCCTCGAGAGAAGGTGGTGAACGTGGAACTCATCAAGCCGGATGCTCCAGGGCCAGGTCTGGAATTGCCAATGGAAAACTTCCCTGATGGAGATGACGGCCAGGAGGGTGACAGCTTCAAAGCAGATGGCTGGCTTGGATGGCTCCCTGATCCGCAGGAGCCTGCTGCCGACGGCCAGCATGTCCGCATGGATCTTCGAAACCGACAAGGCATCCAGCGACCAGCTCGCTTCCAGGATTGATGCTGCTTGGCAGCAAATGTCACCAGGCGGAGGGATGAAGTGTAATGGTGACCCCCTCCTCCATCCTGACTGACACTAGCTAGTATTCATGGTGTTGTGTGAATGTCTCCTAGTACAAGTACGTGTACTAGCTGCTTCTGTTCTTTGCTGTGTGCACTGTTTGTGTTCTTTCCTGTATACATGAGTACTTGCATGGCGTTGTCGTTCAGGGATGAGTCGTGCGTGACTCCTTGTTCCACTGCATGTGCGGTGTGCTTCTTATCTTCTAATCTATAGGCTTCGTGCGGTTGGTGTCCGCTTTCTCTTCATGATCATGAGCCACTGCGTTGTATAGACTGCATGACGTGCTAACGGTGGCTGCCGTGCGGTGTGCGCGATTCACTGCATTCCTGACACTGCTGCTTGCAGGCGCATACATCATTACATGTACTGCACCTTCGCGTGCTCTGTACTTTAGTCTTTAGTTCCGGTTCGATGCACCATGCGCATGCGTCCGGTATGGTGCGAGATGGTTCTTGCTCTCCCAACATTGTTTTTAGTTAGTTCTTTTTCTTAGTCCCAACAATAACCTCATGGAATTAAATCAGTGTGAAACGTAACTATGAGTTCGGTTGTGGGTCTGCAGTAGTCCTAGTGACACGGTTATAGTACAAAACACACACAAACACACAGAGACTCACACACAAACACACAGAGACTCACACACAAACACACAGACACAAACACAAACACACACAGACACAAACACACACATGGACACAGGGAAGCACAAAAGCACAGAAACACAGAACTTCAT